ATAATCCAAATATCCCTCTTCATCATCAAATTATGCTCTGGATCCACTACCTGTAATATAAAAAGCTAAGTGGGTCAGACTTAGGAGCCTGGTGAGCATATAGGGTTTTCAACCTACACTAAATAAAACTATTAATTTCATCAAACAACAATAAGTTTATTAATTTCATCAGCCAACAATATCCCTGATTACCCATTCCCGTTATCTTCACTTTACATCCCTAAACATCTAATACAAGGGACCTAGTCTAAGGATCATCATCGGGCAACAACACTGCTTAGGGGATTCCTCAGCAATACATGTCAAATAAGGCAACCATGGGGGAAGGATTACACCTGGTGAACACTAAGTTCAAAATCACCTACAAGTTGCGAGCCTGCTACATTCCACGGGAGTGTCTAGAATAGTCCGTGGTCATCATCTATACTCCGCTAGATGACTGGAACAACAACAACAACAATGAGGCCTCTCATCATTTTAACACACATCAACTATTTTATCTACCCATGTTATACCCAACATATTTGTAGATAAAAATACATATAGAGTTTAAATCATTCTAAATATGTATAAAAGCTTCATTCAACATCCATCTCAAATAAACAAACAATATTTATAGACATAGCACGTATTTTTATAGAAAATACTTCATATCTATGTGTAAGATGAAAGTGACCACACCTTCACTTGATTTAATGATAATCGAGCAACACTTCGTCTTTTAAAATGATCGTTTCTGATAAAACCGGGATGTTTTCTTAAAAAACGGGCTTCACGCGGGTAGAGTTTCATCTCGAAAAACTCTTTTCTCAGGATCTTCGGGCTTGCTTATGATGCTAGGATAGTAATTTAGGGTTAGGGGTGTTTAGTGTAACAAAACGAAGAGTATAGCGGTGAGAGGAGTAAAATAGTAAACAAATTTCGGATGGCTTCGGATGCTATTTGTAGGGACCGAACACTCGAGTTACGCTGGGCATAACTCTATTATATGTGGGGAGTACTGCCACTTCAACTATTACGCTGAGTGTACATCATGGTACGTGGGGCGTACTAAAGGATTGTCTCAGACGCGTCAAGGCTACGATATGTGTCTCTCATGTGAAGGAGTAGGGGGTGACGGACTCCGGATCACTTTCACGAGTATGTTGGGCGTAACTTCGGTAAGCGTACTCATTCGGACGAGCCTCAAAGTTTGTGCGCAAAACTTCAAAATTTTAGACTCCGTTGGCTAATTTTGACTTTATTTTTAAAGTTATATTTTTAACAGGGCGGGACAAGAAAAGTCCGTTAAAAATTCATAACTTCTTCATCCGACTTCCATTTCCGTCAGTCTTTTTACTGTTGAACTACTATAAACTAGATCTTCGATTCTCGAGTAGGTTATTTTGGATAAAAATCACTCAATCTAAAATACGAGTTTCGGGCTGCATATTGTCATGCCAAATCTTAGAAAATTCATAACTTCCTTATACGAAGTTAGATTTGGGCGTTCTTTTTATGCAAGCTCTCGGTTTAACATATACTACAACTTTCATTTAGATCGCTAAGGATAAAAATCACTTTATTGTAAATTCACTTTTTATGTCATACAGCGTCGTTCCGGTTCTGTCGCGAAACTTCGGCAGGTCATAACTTATTCGTTATAACTCGGATTTCAATATTCTTTATATCTCCGGAATCCTTGTTTCAACCATTACAACTTCCTTCATAGATATCGGGTTTATCTAATATTTATTTTCGATGCTTATTTTTATCCTTAATTTATTAAATCATAATAATTAAGTATAAGCACACAATACTCAAATATACATCATCATTATTTCAAAACAAGTTACAAAGGTTGGCCTAGACTATTACATCATCATTAATGTCTAGCCTAGAAACACGGGTGTTACACTAAGACTCAGATCTAACCTCAAATGCTATAAAAAAGGATAAAGTTTTTCCAACTTTATCCTTTGGAGCTACTCCAAGTGCTCAAAAACCGATCCACAAGGCTTGAAGATTCAAGGGCTTAACCAATAAGCACAAAATTCTTGAAATCTGGAACCCAGCCTTTCCAGAAGAGGTTTTATCCTCAAAATCAACCCAAAGGTTGGTGATTTATAGACATACATGTCCAATGCATGTCTTGAACCCAAAACGGGTAAAAAAAAGGTAAATATGACCTAAACTCCATCCATGGCATTAAAACTTGGCTAAAGACCAGATCCAAGCCACTATAAGGTCACCTTGACCTGGAGATTTATAAAGTTGCAAACTCTATGAGATCCATCTATTGCAACATCCAAGAATAATGAGAAAAGGGACAAAACTCAAGATCTAGCTACACAGAGGAATAAAAATCGGATCTTAGACACTTACGAAGGTCCAAGAAATTGCCAAACTGAAGATGAGGTCTTTGCTTGCTGTATCCTTGCTTCCTTCTTCCAACTTTCTTCTTCTTTTTCTCCAAAATACCATACTAGCTCAAAAATGCGAGGGAATGATGATTAGGGTTCATAAGGCTCGAAATGGGGGTTTGGTGGCTGATAAAAGATCAACCCTAGGGACTTAATGGGATTATATAGGGTGTAAAACCCTAAAATTTAGGGTTTCTCATCTAGTCACCAACTCGTCGTGTTGGTCCATGAAAATACGCAACCTAAAAGTCCTTTAACACGTCGTGTTGAGGCTACCAACACACCGAGTTCAAATGGAAAACACATGCTTAAGGAAATAAATCTCATACCTGAAAATCGAGATGTTATAATATTCTTGATTTATCATCATATTTATATCAGATAAAAGTTATATCTACAAAATTGGTATCATCGACATCAATAAAATAACAAATTATGATAATTACCAACTTAGCATGACACCGCTTTATTAAGTGACATGGGGGCGTTGAGGGAGGGGAAAGTGGGCAGCTGTATATGACCCATTTTTTGTATTATATATTATATATAAATTTTTATTTGAAATAATAACAATAAGGTTCCTTTTTTTCTGGCTCTTCCTGGGCCTTTGAGGATATTTAATTCCTCAGGAGTGGCTATGTTGATATCTCATGTTTGAATGATTGTTACTCATTGAATATAACACTAAAAATAACAAAATTATAATATAAAATCATCTATAAATTCTAAATTACACATTGGAAAAAACCGCATATGAATCCGACATAAACGAATGAAATATGTTTGTTTAAAAAATTTCACAGAATACAAAAGTTTAAATTTTTTGTTGAAAAGTTGAATATATCATATTTGAAGGATTGTAACTAAAGGAATATAACACCAAAACAACAAAGTTATAGTCTAAAATCATTTATAAACTCTAAATTATACGTTGGAAAAATCGCATGTCAATCTGACTTAAGACGAATGAAATATGTTTGTTTAAAGAATTTAACAGAATATATATATATATATATATATATATATATATATATATATATATATATATATATATATTTAAATAAGTCGGTTCAAAACTCGTTTTTACCCAAAATCAGTCGGACCGAACCAGTAAAAAAACCAGGGACTGGTTTTGCTCAAATTCTAGAACCGAGAACCGGCTCGGGATCCAAAAAAACGGTTCAATACGGTTCGGTTTACTAGTCCGATCCGGTCTATAGATCCAATGCTCACCCCTAATGTCTATCATTATCTAAGGGTACATCATGTGAGCACCAACCCTACCAAAATGACATACTTTAGTCAAGATAACCTGTTGAAGTTGACATTCACACTCATGGTCACAAAGGTATGCAACTGATACTCCCTCAACTTTTCAAATAATATTTTGAATAGTTGTTGTAAAAGAGGAACCATTTTAGAAGACCGTGTGAACGCAATGCATCACTTTATGTGTAGGTGATTATCTATCAATTATCATAGTGTTCAATTGGTTTTTCTTTATTTTTTCAATTTTAATTTTTCTTTAATGTTCTTTCAATCCAACTCGTTGCAACATGTTTTATCACAAATACATCAAATTTATGCATCATTACCTCAATCCGAATCAATGTACCATGAGTTACAACTAAACCATAGAAAAACATAAACACTTCTCTTCACACAACCACCTCTCTAGAAAAAGCCACCATAACCAACATCAACCTTAGCAAATATTTATCGTCTACATCTATATTATTATTTGCAATAGGTTATAGAAATAGTTAAATTGTTATTTTTTGTTTAGTGCATAAGATTTTCATGTCAATCTGATTAAAGAAACATAGAGATCTTCTGTCAACGTATGAAATGTAAAAGGATCTTTTACGCCATATGGTTCTTCCATTCCTGCGCCACATAATTCAATGTATTCTCCCCTCGATTACATTTCACCTAGGAAATTGTTACCTCTTACTCACCGATTAAATATAATGAAAAGGTGTTAATAAATAGACATCTCATGGACACCCTTTACAAAAGTCAACCTACCATTAACTATTTATAATTAATTTTTTCGGAAAAAACAATACAGTTGCAACCAATAAAAATAAAAATGAGGTGTTCACAGGTCCATGGTAAGCCACAGTTCAAGCATATAAGTTGAAATGTATACCTTACATTCAAATATTAGTTGGTACATTTGTCGAACTAATTTAAGATTATGGGACTTTACACTTGTGAATGTGATCTTGTCGAATCAAATACCCTTGTCCTGGTTAATATTCTTGTCCTCTCATGATACATATAGTCCCATTTATGTGTTTGCTACCGACCTTGTAAGTTTTACAAACTATTTTTAATGATTAAAATGTGATAGGCATTTACAATTACAATGACATCAGTCTAAAAATCACTAGGGCACAAAAAACTCAAATAGCAAACAGAACATATGCAGAGTAGTACTAGCATAAACAGATCAAACACTAAACACCAAGAAAATAAACTGTACATCAACACCATTTCTCAGGTGTATACCCACATGATATCATTCAATCTTTTTTGCGCTCAATTAAAAACCCCAATCTGTTTGATCGTATTTTAAATTTCAAATTTCAAATTTCAATCCGAAACATACGATTCGTCGACTTCTATCAATGCATGTGCATTTAACATGCTCACATCTACATGGTTCAGACCCCATATACGAATGGTTCGATCATCACTAGCCGATGCCAACATATGTGGGTTCACCGGGTTCCAACTAGTACAGTTCACAGCTCCAGAATGACCTTCAAGCCTCTCTATGACATCACCCGTATCTCTATGCCATATAAACACCCGAGAATCTTCACTCCCACTAGCTACAAATCCTTCCCCAAGTCCACCAAAACAAGCCCTAACCACAAATCTTGAACATTTATGACCTTTATACTTGCCCAAAATCCGTATACTTGCTTCGATACTCCATAGATGTATTTCTTGATTCACCAGACTCACCAGTAAGAACTTGTTGTCCTTTGATAAAGAGAAGGAAACTATGTTATGATCTTCTTTTATTAATCGTTCGTCTCCTGATTCTCTATTGAATATGAGTATCATAGTTTCCCGACAAATTGAAATTATAAACTTCCCATCGCCCGTTATTTGTAAATCAGAAATCCTAAGCGTTTTTTGCCCCTTCCAAGATTCCAACTCATTCCCGTTTAAATCCCACATTGTGATACTTTTATCGTTAATTCCCGTGAATACCCTTTGACCATCCGGAGACCACCCACATGAGATCATTCCGAGGTCATTTTTGTCATAAACATATAGTACTTTGCCGGAAAACACGTCCCACCGCATCACCACCTCCTCGACGCCACATGTGAGGAGCTGATTGTCACAGGGACTCCATGAAACACACGAGACTGATTGCTTGTGGCCCAATAATTCGTATTTAATTTTGAGTTTGCCATCAAGATCAACATCCCATATGACTACGGATCTATCTTTGGAAGATGAAGCCAAGAATTTACCGTTGTGAGAAAACTCCAAGAACCAGACTTCATCGCGATGATGGCATAGAATCTGTGATGTGTGCAAGGGAATCTGACCTTTTCCACAGTTATGATCGATGAATAATGATGTGTCCCCGTTTAAAGAATTGTGAAACGAACAAGAGTCACGTTGCAGGTCTACGGCTTGTTCTACTAAATGTAGCAGTCGGAGTTCTGGGATCATAACATTTGGGGGAAATAACTTCTGTAAATCACGGAGAACCTCTGATCTGGGCTTCGGTTTGATCGTTCTTTGATTAGATAACAACAAGAAGGAAGAAAGCTCACAAATACGATTCACGTTTATCGAAAGAGGCGATATTTCATTTCTTAATGCGCTTAGAGCGTTTTCTACCTTGTGCTCATTCAAAAGTTGAAGAAACTTCTGCTCTAAGATAACAAACGACGATGATTTGACAACAGATTCGTCCAGACCGGATATTTTTCTCAATGAATTTAAGCTTTCATCCCAATTACCATCGAGAATCTGTTGGGTGAATTCAGTAACTTCAGATGAAGAAAGAGTAATGCCTGATTCTTTCTCGAGATATTCACTAGTTTTTTTATACCCAAGAGAATGTAATGACTCGGCAACCAATCTCACGAATTCGACTTTCCTAACTCCCTTGTAGCCGATTGTATCATCGGCTAGGGATTCAGCCATTGGAGAGTCAAGATCGGAAGATTCAATAATATCACTAGGCGACGACGACGATCGTTTCACTTTTATGCGTTTTGATGGTGGTTGATTAGCCTCAACGCCTCCCATGAAATGCACACTCAGGTCGTATACAAGAAGGAAATCAGATGGATAAATAGAAGAAAATCAATAAACCCAATTCCGATTATAACTAATTTGAATTCAGAATCAAGAATTGGTCGGGGATTTAAGAAACAATGTAATGGATTGTGTGTTATGAGATGAATAACATACCAAAGTCTGAAGGAGAATTTTAGAAGTAGATATAAAAGAAATGAAAGAAAGAAGTTACGTGAAGTAACGTGGAAATTTGTTTTACCGGCGATGAGGGTGGCGTGTGAAATTGAGAGATACTCAGATGGAGGAAAGAGTTTCGAACCAGAGAATCGGGTAAAATGGTTCGACGTAGCGATGAATTTTGGACGGCGGTCGGCGGCGTTGGGTGGTGGGTTTAGTGATGAAAACCAACTGGATTGGTACTTCCTGAGAGAAGAAAAATCATAGAGAAAGCAAATGGATTAATAAGGGGGAAATACACGTGGGCTCAGAAAGAAACACACAACACAGCAATGCTGGCAAAGTTAAGGGCAAAATGGTATCGTAGACTTACATTTTAGGTGAATGTTATTATAACCTTAATATGGGTTTAAACGAGCCGAGTCGAATCGAATACTACTAAGTTTGAAGCTCGGCTCGACTAAAATACTCGAGCTCGAAACTTGGCTCGAACTCGATTCGAGCCTTGATTTTAAGCTCGAGCTTGGGCTCGTGAAATACTCGACAGTCTCAAGCTCGGTTCGGCTTGGCTCGACTAATATTTAAAAAAAAATCAAAATCACTAAATTGAGTAAGAAATATTAAACATTCCACATGTAAATGTCAAAAATACCAAAAAAAACCACTATTAATCACCGAATATCAATATAACATCAACCATATATATCATAAATGAATAATTATAAAGAAATGACATATATCTTATAAATGAACAATTATAAAGAAACGGCATATATGTAAATTACACTAAGCTCGCGAGCCTTATGAGATGAGTATTTTTTTACTTGAGCTCGGCTCGATAAGGTACTCGAGTAGCTTGAGCTCGAGCTCGGCTCGATTAAGGTCGAGTCGATTTCGAATATTTTCCGAGTCGGTCTCGAGTTTCTCGTGAGTTGGCTTGTCTCACTTACACCCCTAAGCCTTAATATGTTACAAGTTTTAGGTTAAATTGTCTTAAAGGAGTACGAAATGTTATTTGACCATCTAACTAGGTTCGATTACCTGTTTTAAAAAGTTTCCCACACCAGACCCAATCCACGTTCAAAACGAAAATTCATGAAGTTTGCGGACCACCTTTGCAATCCTTTGTAGCAGAAGAGGTGGAACAAACGGATGCAGCCTATAATAAGAAGCATGTTTGTTTTTTAACATCTGCAGACTGCTGCAGTAAACTGGAATTTAAATAAACTAATTTTATAAACTGAAAATAGTTCTCAAAACCGAAATTTTAATAATTCTAGTATTAAAACATTGAAAGAATACTAAAAAACATGTAAAAAACAAAAATATAAAACATTAAAAAAAAAACTTAAAAAAATATAAAAGAAGCTAACAACTTTATTCTAGAAAAAAAAAACTAATTTCAAAAAACATAAAAAAGAAAATAATCAAAAAACTTAAAATGGTATTGCAAACGTTGTCTACAAAGTTCGTAAAAAATTACACATGTTAAAAAAGATGCAACTGAAACTAAAAATATTATTAACAGAAACGATAGAAAAATTAAAAAAATCAAAGTTAAAAAAAATAATAAAGTTAAAATTTTTTGTGCAAATTATAAAAAGAAATTGTATCAAATCCGCAAATAAAAGTTTTTAAAAAATCAAAATTTAAAAAAAATAAGTTTAAAAAAAATAAGTTATATCAAAATTCTAAAAAAACACTTGGAAAAAGAAAGTTGAAGAAGTTTGAATATGCAAGTCAAGTGTTGCGCCACGCGGCACAGGCGCAGATATTTTGTAGTCTGAAGCCTTTTAAAAAAACAAACTACTGTGAGAGGGAAAGTGTTGCGCGTGTGCTGCGTCGCGCAGCAGGAAGTGGTTTGAAGAGTTTTTTTTTTTTATAAAAACAAACAACACCTAAGTGAACTCTGAGTAAACTCGGTGTACATGTCTCTAAGTTGAGTCCGATTCTTTGCTTAGACCCTAAGGGTTACTATGGACCCTACATTCTTAAAAGGAATGGTATTTTCAAGCAAATTCTGATTGTTTATTCCCATTTTCGGCCAAACCAAATCCGACAAGCACACAACTTTCGTTTTCATGATAATCACGAGATTGATACCCCACCACCACAATCACTTGATTCCATATCAATAAATTCTCGTGATAGGCTCAACTTTGACAACTTGCACACTATCTTTTGCAATTACGGGTGTAGATTGTTGAACATAAGATCGAAGTTGATTGACTGGAGGAGGAAATGAGTCGTGATATGGCCATTACGAGGGTAGATTTGCTCATTATGCAACGTCAATTAGAGCGTACAAAGAAAAAGGTGCAATCTTTGATTGTGTTGGTGGTGGGAATGGCGGTGTTGATGTTTGATTTCATGGTGGACAAAGTTCATTATCTAATGAAGAAGTGATCTTTAAGTGTCGATGTGTTTCTTTTGATTAGGTATGGTCGTGTTTGTGTTCTTTACATAGTGATGTGTTTGTGTTAGGGTTAATGTGTTATGCTGTTTCTTAATGGTGTCTTGCTTATGTTGTGATGGTGGAGGTTGAAGATTTGTATAAGCACATATAATTTTGTATAAACTAACTAAATGTAACCTTGTTCATCGTAATGGAAACGAAGACCTGATTAAAGTCAGATTATGTTTTATGTTATGTTATGGAATGTGTTTGTTTTAGACTGATAGTATTTTAGAATTTAAAATAAGGTTTTCTAAGACACTAAGACTTGTGATGGTGACATAAGACTTCTAATCGAACACATCAATTTTAAAATTGGCTAGGCCTAACAATTATAAGTCAATACCAAATCACATAGTAACCCAAAGATATCATTTTTCCCGTTACGGAAAAAGGAACTAATAAACTTTCACTTATATGCTTGTACTATTTACTCATCAAATCATGCACATCAATACGTTTTACAACATCAAGTTACTAATGTGTTTACATATTATCAATGCACAACTAACTTGTAAACCACAACTCACATATCTTTGTTTCAAGAATATAAGATATTATTGTCTCAAAATTACTCGTGATAAAATCCATGAACTAATTCTCTAAACATGAGTTTATCTCATACTTAAATCCCATTACTAAGTACTCAATAACATTGCTGCAAAACTATTGCTATGTCTAAAATTCTCTAGACAATCTACAATCCAGTTCATGACAACCTTAATTTACTAATTACTTCTAAATAAAGTATGAGCGACTGTGGAATTTTGAATAATCAAATTATTCAGGAAGTAAAACATGTTAAGTGAAACACAATAATAACCTAATTAACTATGGTCTCAAAACTATTAAATATTGTTAGGTGCATTTTGTGCACCTTTTTACACACCTTTTAGTCCATTTTTTGCATCCATTTAGCATAATTGTCTTTCATTTTTCTTGCATTTCATCAAAGTCATGTTAGTCTCCAGAACAACCTTATTTGCACGCTTTTATGGTCTTTTTAGGTAAACCGGAGGTTGAAGCACGTTTTGGGAGGTGCCTGGAAGCACGGGTGAAGATTTCAGGATGATTGGATGCAAAACAGAAAAGTTGGAAAAATCAAGATTGGTCTTGGAAGCAGGAGCGTACACGGGGTATGTTCAATTTGCACTGAAAAACGAACACGGGACGTGTTGGACCAAAAAGGAGCTGTCGACCATGCTGAACACGACTTATATCAGTTTAGCCTATTTTGACATGAGCCGTGTTGACCATACTGAACATGACCCGTGTCAGTTTAGCCTATTTTGACACAGGGTCGTGTTCTACCCAAAAACTACCTTTTGACAGTTTTTCCTATCTTTCATATTACGGGATTAGGGTCCTTTTTACACACACACACACATATCATATCAGAGCATTCTGGGTGAGGATTTTAAAGGTTTTTGCAAGGATTTGATCATTTATCATTAAGAAACATTATTTCTCTTATTTGTAGGTTGTAATTGCACATTATTTCCATCTTTTAACTTGTGATCTTGTTCTAGCCATGTGTGGCTAGAACCCTACTTTCTACAACGTCATGTTTTGACTTCTTGGTTGTGATTTTAATAATATAACTTGATGTTTGCTTTTAATTTCTATCCAGTAAATTTGATTTTTCTTTAATCAAATGTCTGTTTCTAATTGTGATTCTTATTGGCCATTTAGATTAGGGTTAGGTCATTCAAGTTATCTAGCTATTTTCTGATACCCATAATTTATTTGTAAATTGGACTAAGTAACAAGCACTAAACTGATTTCCATTGAATGAATTTAGTGTAAATCTTATTCACACATTCTTACACTCCCGAGCTTGTGAGGAGTATTGGATGTTGTTGGGAACATTCACATAAAGCTTAATGCAATCTTTTAATCTAATTATAAGAGCTTGTTTAGATTAGGTTAGCAAGGTTAGGGTTAATCAAAGAGCTTGTTTTGGTTAATTAATGTAGTGAATGGGAAGTGTTAGAGCTTACTAACACTTTCAATTACCAACTTAGATAGAATTGAGCAAGTATCATGTCATTTTGGAATCACATTGCTAAGTTGTTATACATAGAGTTAGAGTCGTTAGAGTCGTTATAAGTACAATAACACTTAATCGAAACTGTTTTGTGATACCTGACATGACGTCCTACGCCCTCGAATGTTTCCGCCAATTCGTTTTGGGGGTGTGACAGATTAGTATCAGAGCATTGTCTATAGTGAACTCAGTGTATCAAATCATAAAAGATATAGAACTATAAATATATTGGGATAAAAACACTTTGGTCAAGAGTTATACTTTAAAATTTGAAAACATTTTATAAAAGTATAAGCACACCCATAATATATATATATATATATATATATA